CCCACACACACACACACACACCCACACCGACACACCCACACACCCACCCACACACTCACTTACCATAAAAGACATGTCTGATAGGCTATATTCATCCATGCTATTGAGAATAATGTCGCCCTGATATAACCCGGCCAATTCGATGGGGTCAGCTTGATGGCTTGTGTCGACGGCAGCGTGTACTGTGGAGAGAGAGAGAGAGAGAGAGAGAGAGAGAGAATAATTAATTTCGTAGTAATAATAATAATAATAATAATAATAATAAACACTTCTACCTGTTAATTACACCTCACCTGTCAACAACAAAAACAACAACAACAACATACCCATTTGTGCACTGTTCTCAAAGTCAGCTGGGCTAAGTGATGGTCCCGGTATGTCATTAGCAATCTGGGGGTGAGAGAAAGTGAGTGAGAGAGAGTGAGAAAGAAAGTGAGAAAGTGAGATAAAGTGTGTGTGTGTGTGTGTGTGGCCTTACTTCACTTTATCTGACCTTATTTAACTTTGCTTAACATTCTTTGACCCTATTTAACCTTATTTCACATTACTTGACCTTATTTGACCTCATTTCATCTTATCTCACCTTACTTGACCTTATCTGACCTACCGTATCTGGATTACCCATTGCTACTTCGGGCAGGAAATTGGGGTCTAGCTGTGGTTGACCCAATATCTGGACATTGGGGTCAGACGAGCGAATTAGAGCAGTGATGTCCTTTGACCCGACCACCATGACCCAGGTCAGACAATACCAACGTAGCATCTGTTAGTAAATAATAATAATAATAATAATAATAATAATAATAATAATAATAACTAATAATAAAAATAATAATAATAATAAAAATAATAATAATAATAATAATAATAATAATAACTAATAATAAAAATAATAATAATAATAAAAATAATAATAATAATAATAATAATAATAATAATAATAATAATAAAAACATGACAATAACCTATATAAAAACAGTAATCATCATACATCAGGTTTAATGGGAAAACATATCGTACCGTTATTAACATGATGCTGGCGTGTCTGTTATTCTAGTACCTGTATGTATGTACTGTATGTTGCAGTATTATTTGTAATGGTAACGTCTTAGGAGCACATTAGATGGCTGTGTTTTATCCTCTTCGCCACTGATCAGCCTTCTTAGCCGCCACCACCCAAACCAAAATCGCCCGCTAGCCGCCCGGGCGATCGGTCACGTCTCGTCACGCACTGTTGGCAAATACTGGGCATGCACCGGCTCCTGAATGTACCTAAACCCGCTCCAGTGTTGGTCAAGTCTTGAAAGAGCTCACACTCGGTGCCGTCACAACACTAAGAGCTCACACTCGGTGCCGCTGCTACAACACTCTCTGTAGATTGTTCCAAGAGCTTACAACCCTCACCTGGAAAAGTTTGCCCCTCACGGTTTCGACTTGCGGCTTTTCCAATCTTGAGCTGCGACCCTTGTATGCAGCGCGTCTGCCAGCTCCAGGTATGATACTCGACTGAGAAAGTGCCCCCTGAGATGCTTATACACTCAACTAGGTCCCCCTTGCCCGTAGTATAAGCCAGTGCTTAGGCGCCCAATCTCAGGGTAGCTGAGGTGCCGAAGCGCAGGCACCAGTTTCAGGCCTCCTTGAACATTTTCAACCAACTGACAGTCCCTAGCATATCTCGGGGACTAGATGCGATGTTACTCCAGATAGAAGACTTCACTCCTGAAGATCGTTACAGGACGGACCGTCTAGATATCTGAACGACCTCTTATAAGACTCCACAATTTATTTATTTTTTTTTTTACTTTTATCCTCTTCGCCACTGATCGGCTTATAGCCGCTTGGGCGATCGGTCACGACTCTTTTCCCTTTATATTTTCACCAAAGCACGGTATTCTCGCCAGCCGCCCGCGATCGGTCACGTTCCTGCTCACGCAACATACACACATACAGGTCCTTCTCACATTCAGTCTCAACTAGTGCATTTTCTTCCATCCTGTTGTGACATATGATACGCCTCCTTACCGTTGGTACGCCCCAGGTGCATCCTTACACTTCAGACATTGAATCTCAGCAGCCATTTCCTTCGACCATTCCTGGAGCCCACAGAGGTCCTTCTGCAGCTCACAGTCCCTCTGGTTCTAATCGAAATAACTTGCCATCATCGGCAAACATTTGTATGGAGGAGCAAAAGGTCTGTCAAAAGGTTGCCGGTTTATGAAACAAACAAACAACAGCGGGCCCAATACACTACCCTGCGGTACCCCACTTGTTACAGTACAGATGACGACGCAAAGTTATTAATCACCACACACCGTTTGCGGTCATGTAGAAAGTCTTCATCCACGCTTAGACATTTCCTCGAATTCCGCACCCTTCCAGTTTGATTTTCAGCCTTCGTAAGTGGCTAATCGTCGAAAGCCCGGCAAAATCTAGGTAAATATTGTCGATATTACCACCCCAATTTGTGAACATGGGTCCAAATATCCAATACCTTGCTAATTGTGTCAAGCAAGAGCGCTCCTGGCATAAGTTCGTGTTGGCAATCTTTTACAAGGTTATTGTTTCGTAGTGGATGTTCCATCGCTGCATTCTGATAATACTCCTCGGCACTTTACATATTATGCTGGCCAGGCTTCACCGGTCTATAGTTGTTCGTGGAGTGCCTATCGCCCTTCTTGAAGATAGACTCACATAAGCCACTTTCATTCACTGGGGACCATTTGTTCATCCAGGCATTTACAAACAGAATCTTCAGGGCTCTGGGTGTTGCTGCACACGCCCCTTTAGCACTCTGGGGATGCATTCATGTCAGGTCCAGGACTCTTATGGACCTTTTAGCCTGGACAGTTTATTTAATAATTCTCTTCTGTGAACACAATGTGGGCTGCTGTGTCGAACTGTCTGGTCCTCAAACGCAGGAAGGTTAGTTGCATCCTCTCTTCTGTGAACACTGAGGAAAAAGAAGTGTTCAATGCCTCAGCTTTATCCTGGTCGTGAATCTGTGTAACTACCATCTTCGCTTCAGGTCTGATAATTCTACTCTCATGTTTTCAATTTCGACTTTGCAGACAAAACGCCTTGGGTTTGACTTGACCCTCGCGTGCAACCAGCCTTGGAACTCCTTTTTCAGCCCTCCTACACTTCTATCTTTTGCTTGGTTTCTGGCTCTGCATACATCCTGTCTTCAGTTCATATCGCTCTGGACCCAACCCACGTCTTGAATTCTGGGTTTCTTCTTAATTTTGTCGACTGCCGCATGGTTCATGTGTAGATCCTCGTATTCCTTTGTGAAGCTAATTGGGTTTGGTCTTGCATATATTTATCAGATCAAATGGGCTGGCTTAATTAGTTATGATATTCAGCGTAGTGTCTATGCTCTTGTACCTTAATAACCGTGCTGTTGATACCTCATCTCTCTTCCTTATCCCATTGTACTTCCTTGTAATATTTGCACTTTGGCTCGGCTTTATCTTGAATTAGGTAACAGTTAAATCTGGAATGACAACACTGTATGGTGACTGGTGCCAACCAAGGTGTTTCAGTTTGCCACCATACCCCCTCTCGTTTATGATGAGGCCATGGCTTGGGTGTTTGTCTTCTCTGTAATGTGTCGGGTCTCTCATGTTGGAAACAGAAAATTATCTCTCAGAGTTTTAAGCAAAAGAGTAGCAGGATTATTCAAGTCATTCGGGGTGGACTCGTTTCTCCAGTCGATGTCGCCATAGTTAAAGTCCCCAATAATGGGGTTAGTTATATATTAGTTTAAATAGTTTTTTAAAAGAACATCGTCTATACCAAAACATTATTGGAACCTCCACAACATAATAGTAAATGGGTAATATTTATAATTATTAAAACTTAATGACATAATTGAAATAATATAAAACTATGGCATTTAAAACACAGTCGACTTACCTGACAGTATTGGATCCTTTTTTTATGTAAATCCCTTATTAAAATCACCTTATGGGATTAATAGACGTTAGTGTAATGAGAGAGATGCTGACGATAGCTCACCAGGAGACCTACTGGCTTAATGAGTTCACCGGCCTCGCTTTTATAGCCATGAGGGCGCCTTCAGCTTGTGTGACGTCATCATAGCGGTGGGTGAGGGGGTAATTTCCCGCCTTTTTTTTTTATTTACGTTTGTGTCTGTCTCTAAAATACACACACACATACACACATAGTAATTCTCTCTTTTCTCTACACACACACACACACACAGCCACGGATATGACACACACATCTCCTTGACACGCTAAGATAACTAACTATATTACATCCGTCAAAGGTATATATTCTAAGTAATTTATTGAGTACACGTCACTTAACGAATGACGTCACACCCAATTGACCTTGCATTACTTTCAAGACTTTAACTATCTGATTCTAAGGCCATTGGTTAGGTTAGGTTAGCTTTAAAGTTCATGTGATGTAATGGTGAGATACTCAAACACTCTTCT